GATTAGTGTCTTTGTTACTGATGGCTTATTGTTGAGATGAGGGCAATGGCCAAACACTTGAGAAAACCGGCATGGACTCGGAAATTAACTAGCCATTGTTTTGTGGTTGCCGTGCTTTGCAGGACGAAAAACGAGGCCGATAATTGATCTTTGTTATATCTCATTCTCAAGCGGAGCAAACAGATTTCCAGTCAGACATGCAGGACCAAGGCTGTGTGATAAAAATAGACAAAATATTGTACACGTACAATCTGGGACGTGAAATCCTAGTAAATGCTAGATTCACACCAAATCTGCCTGTCTCCTATCCTAAATTGCAGCGATCTCCTTGAGTTGAGAGACACTGCCGAAGTAACTTTTTAAATTACCAATCTCTTGAGTTCTATGCAAAATTCTGGGATAATAGAGAAGGGTTTTGTTGGGGGCCGTAGGGGATGGGGAGGTGGGGGAGCTACACACACATGGGCAAAAAATCTGCATGTCACTTCAGAAAGGCAATGCTTTATATAAAAACTGACATTTAATCTTTTCTCTAAATTGCAGTCTGGAATTCATCTAATTCATCTAGTTATGACAGTAGAACACGTCCGGAAAGTTATAAAACATTACAGCATCATGTGGCACAATACTGCAACTTTCCAATGCATACTTCTGGTGCAGAGGGGTCACTGAACTTAGAAAAACCTCTTAATCGACAGCGCTTTCATTTAGAAATGGTGCAAGTGTTGATTCGACATGGAGACAGAACTCCTGCGATGTTTATCCCTAACATGGACAATGGAAACTATGATTATGATTGCACATTCAGAACTAAAAATTACAACCACAAACAAATGTTTGAAGAATATACACAGGCAACCAGACGTGTCACTACACGTGAGTTTCAAAAAGATTTGAGAAGTTCTCACCAACTTCTTCCGTCAGGGCATACATGTCGGATTGGTCAACTGACACAGAAAGGTTTTCTACAGCATTTTACTCTTGGGAAACATCTGAGGACAGCTTACAGTAGTTTGATAAACACAGACATCAAATCTAGTGATCTTCATGTGCGATCGACTCAGAGAACAAGATGTGTGCAAAGTGCTGCTGCCTTTCTGTATGGCTTGTTAACGAAGGACACTATTTTGAAAGGTGAGACAACATAGCAGATATAAGCAAGTACAGTATAATTATAAAATTCTGAGCATGAACAGAATCATTACATATATAACTAATAGTAATTACCATCAACTCAAGTACAGCTCATGTTTTGAAAGCTGCAGAGTTTTAAAACATTAAAACAAATGTATTGTTTGTGTGTCGTAGGCTTCCAACAATATGAGGATTTCTTGGTAATGGTTGTGATCACTTTGCTAAGTTTTTTTAATTCACACTAAAATTTTTCAATATCTAAGGAGACTTCAGACATGGACATTGATCACTCTGCAAAAGCAGTTTAGGATGAGCACAGAGAGAAGTTGAAGCTGTCTATGAAAAATCAAAATCAGTATTAAAAAAGTTTTTTTTTTTTCCAGAGGGTCTAACCATCAACATCACCTCTGATATATGGTTTCAAGAAGATGACAATGGCATACGCTACAACTGCCCTTCATTGAGGAACCGTTGGAATGGATACAAACAAGGAAGAGAATACAAAGCAGGAGCTGAAAAAATAGAACCGATCATGCAGCAGTTTTCAGGGCTGTTAAGGGTGCCAAGGGCATCTCTGCCAACCATTATATTGTAAGATAAGCTCTCTTGATACGATTTTTGTTTAATGTTAATAATATGGACTGTGTGCATGGGACTGTACTGTCGGTTGCATTTACAAACGCGAACAGCAGGATTAGACCTTTCCACAGTCTTTTCATCTTTAAATATTGGATTATTGGCACAACTCTCCAAAGCTATAACTTTGCTATTTTACAAGATAATTTACAATCTTGGCCATTTTACTAAGTATTTTAAGGTTGTTTTGTAACAACAGATGTTCGCTACATGGTCAATATAGAAACAGTAACAACAGATAATTGCTACATGATCAATATTAAAGGTTGAGAAATACTGTAGAAAGGTCTCTTCAGGTTAACAACTTAAACTATTACATGAGGTTTGGTTGGAAGGCATGATTGCCTAGCAGACCCTATGATAGTACAAAGCCTGTTTTGAGACAACTGAGGAATGACAAATCAGTGCAAATATTGCATCAACAAACAATCAATCAACTAATTAACTTGTGTCTATTATTATGAGCACAATAATTGTACATTATTACAAAATTCAGTATTTTTTCATTGTTAGGGTTAGAAAACTCTGCAGAATTAAACACATCACAGCAACAACTAAGTTTTATTCCATATAGAAACTTAGTTGTGTAACTTGAGACTATAAATGATATGCACATGCAAAACTTGTGCATATGAACTGCCGCAGGATAAGAAAGAAAAGATGGTGACTTGTTGACCAATCAGAATGCTACGATGCTTTAATTCTAATCATTGTCCAAAAGGACCCAACTTATGATGTTAGTTGATTTGGGATAACACTGTACATACATTTATCTTTCAGTCTGACTGATGCCATTTACACTCGTCTCTGTTACAACTATCCCCTGCCATGTGGACCTGGAGGCTGTGTGTCAGAACAAATGGCAGCCAAGGCAATGCATTTTGCAACCTGGGCATTTGCCGAGAATTTCACTGGCATAGCTGATGTCGCTTCTCATCCAATGTTGATACAAATAGCCAAGAGAATGGTCAACAAGCCTCAGCACAAATCTTCTCTCAAGTTTGTACTGTACAGTGGTCACGACAGCACTGTCACGCCACTCTTAATAAACCTTGGAGTTCATGATCGGACAAGATGGACACCTTATGCCACACATGTGGTTTTTGAACTCTGGAGAGATACTCTTTTAGACTCTCCAAAGCAGCCAGGTTCTATAGACAACTTTTATTTTCGAGTTCTTGTCAATGGTATAGTGGTCACCAGTAAAATGAAATTTTGTGGTGACGCATTGGTCAAAGGTGAACTTTGTCCTGTTCAAGAACTGGTTTCGTGGCTCTCTGATGGGGCAGGAATTGAAGGAATGGATGAGAGTTACAAAGCATTGTGCTCGTTGGAATATCTTTAATTAATGTACTCAATTGGCAACCAATATCATTATTGTATTACCCAGTGTGAGGTCAAACCAGAATGTATCTATAGCAAGGGGGTGCAATCCAAGTTTTCTTTCCTACTTTTTGAAGCATAATTTTTATTTCTAAAACAAAATGTTTAGTTCCCGAAAATATCCATACCTCCCTCGCAGAAGGTTTTTTTTTCTAAGACCCCCCTCCCCCCACCCCTCTGGAATTTTCATTCAAGCTTTATGCATTTCTTTACATTTTTGGACCTTACAGAAGCCCTGCCCCCACCTCTCAGGAAATTCCAATCCCTTCTTTGGGCGGGAATATGGATACTTTTTGGAACTACACAATATTGCTGGTATTATTCGTGAACTTTGAATAAATGTTTACCTACTGTGCCATAACACTATTTATGTCAATAATAGGGCACTTTTGGTTTTAGGGTGACTTTAATTTGATTGAATATAACTCCCACACATTTAACAGTCTGAGAGTGCGATATGTAGTAAATAATTTGTTCTAAATATAGAAAGCTTGTGCTAAATATATAATTTGTTCTAAATATGTAAAACTAGATTTAAATATGTTAACTTTCGTATTTATAAAATTGATGTGAATCTTCAGTACTTCTTTCCAAATAAACACAGCAACAGGTAAAATGCTTTCGTAAATTGTGTACGAACATTTGCTTCTTATATATTTTAGTTTTATATATTTAGAATAAGTTTTATGTATATTTAGAGCAAGTTTTACATACTTCAAGGAGGTATTTTCGTCCCCTTTGGCCCGTCGTAACTCTGGGATTTCTCATTTAAATGGTTTGCCGCTATTTGTTCACTTTGGCGAACAATTTTGAAATGCTCCGCGGAGTTTCGACGCGTGTACGGTGAGAATCAGCTCTTTGCTAGGAAGACACGCACGACTTTCATGGTTTTTTTTCGCGAACTTCGCAATTGCATGCACATAAATTAGAATTTTAAACAATAGCTGATTTTGTGTAGATAATTTTCTATTGTTTTTCCACGTTTGCATCTAATATTGCCACTGATTAACATTTTAAAAAAACGAGTTAAACGAACCTGTTCTCCCGAACTGTAAAAATAATGATTCCTCTCACGTTAATTTCGTTAAAAAGAAAGCTGTACTTCATGAGATGTGAATTTCGGAGACTGAATCGTATCTGGAGATTGATCATCCTCGCATCTTTTGGAGGTCTGTTGTGGATTTGGGGTAAGCTTACAAGTTCTGATTCAAGCATAAGCTGCTTAGCTTGTATTGAACTTTCTTTGATAGTTTTATTGTATGCGCCTGCAGCTCGCTTTGTAGTTCGGATTAATTGGAGCTTCAAATGTCATTACACGGAGCCGTAGATCGGCATTTTACTGATCACATGTGATAAGCCGTGAATTCTTGAGAGAGGGAAATACAATTTGTTATGCACTCAGGAAAACTTGCACAGAGACCTTGACTTAAAGATCACTAATTTCCTTGAGAAGATATTTTAATTTAGTAAATGAAGTTAAATCATTTACTACATAATCATAATGTAATAAACCGTGAGATAAAGAAGTCAAAGAAGGGACATGGAAGGGATAAAGAGAAAGGAAAACAATATGTTTATCTATACCTCATAATAGCGAGTGTATTAAACCGATACGTTAACATGTGAAGTGCGAATCAGTCGTGCGAGGCATTGCAGAGCAAAACATGTAAACCTGGGGTACGTACCCTCGGGCTGAAGATGCGAGGCATCATAATTTTGATTCCTGATCATCATTAAATTGCAACGCCTCCTTAAGTTTAGTCAAGTAGATCAATTTTAACGGGAATTCTCTGTCGTTTCTTATTCGAAAAATATTTAGAAGGCAAACATCCAATACAGACGTAGACTGAAAGAGTACTGCAGGCAAAGGCGCCGTTCACACTAAGCCAGAGGAATTTGAAATCGGAGGTTTCACTCTGAGAGCACATCAAATGTTTTCCGTCCACACAACGCCGGAGGAAGTTGAAAAAGCAACAATCGGTCGTTTTGGATTTGTGTTTGAGGAAAACTCGGTCAGGGAATTCACATGGGTATCATGACGCCATCGATTTTCGCCAGCAGATCCCTTTGGTATGAAGAGTGTTTTCGAAAAGCTCCGTTTCCGTGACGGATTAGTGTGGACGGTAGGCCTGACTGTAAATAACGCTGTGTTTTTCAAATTTCTCTGGCGTAGTGTGGACCCGGCCTAAGTCCGGAGTCTAGCAAGGTGTTAATCATTTTTTTTTAATAGGCCACGCTGAACTGATAAGCCCAGACCGAATGCATTCACAACGGGTTCAGAACAGCTGCGGAACGGTTATGGAGTGTAAAAATAGTACTTTTTATTTTCAAAAATGCTTTCAGCTTATGCATATGCACCTGTCCAGTACTCCAATCTTTACTTGTTTAAAGCCCAGGCCGGGGTCATTGCGTTGTTTGTTTACCCTCCATTTACGGGTACAAATGGGGACCGGGGAACTCAATCCTAGAAGAAACCCGGTTTCGTGAAGTGGGTCAGCAGTCCATCTAGAAGTTTTTTGCTATTCTTTATCCGTTCTTTACCATTAGCACTATTGTTTAATCATCTCTTCAATTTGCAGTCTGGAATTCATCCAGTTCGTCTAGTGATGACGGCCCAACGTTAACACCGCCTGAAATTCATGAAACAGTGCAGCAACATGTGGGACATTACTGCAACTTTCCGATACGTACTTCTGGTGCAGAGGGATCTTTAAGCTTAGAAAAACAACTCAATCAAGAACGTTTCCATTTAGAAATGGTACAAGTGTTAATAAGGCATGGAGACAGAACTCCTTCTGTCTTTATCCCCAACACGGATAATGGAAAGTATGATTATAACTGCACGTTCAGAACTAAAGATAACGACCACAAACAAGTGTTTAAAGAATACGCAAACATAACCAGACATTTCACTCTGCGAGACTTTCTAAAAGGTATGAAAACAAGTGGCCGTCTTCTTCCGACAGGACAACGGTGTCGCGTCAGTCAAATGACACAGAGAGGTTTTCTTCAGCATTTTACTCTTGGAAAACACATGAGGACAGCTTACAGCAGTTTGATAAACACAGACATCAATTCTGGGAACCTTCATGTGCGATCAACTTCGAGAACAAGATGTGTGCAAAGTGCTGCTGCCTTTCTGTATGGCTTGTTAACGAAGGATACTATCATGAAAGGTGAGACTGCGCAGTGGATGAGTGTTGGTTACGGCTTGTCAGCATATAGACAGACTTGTGAGTTCTCTGCTCCACGCGCGCAATGAATCGAGTCTGAGTAGACATCTGAATCTGAGGCCCCGTCCACTCTATACTCGAGAAATTTGAAAACGCAGCTTTATTTCTAAGGTTAAGTCTAGCGTCCACGCTTATGCGTCACGAAAACGGAGCTTTTCGAAAGCGCTCTTCAAACCAGAGGAATTTGAAAACGCCGGCCTTTCGTTTTCGCGTGGGCAGAAAACATTTTGAAAACGGAGCTTTTCGAAAATGATGGCGTCACGATAATAATATTTTTCCCTGCCCGAGTTTTCCTCGAACACAGATCCAAAATGGCTATTGATCATTGCGTTTTTTAATCCTTCCAGCGCAGTGTGGTGGAAAAACATTTGGTGCGTTTTTAGAGTGAAACCTCTGTTTTCAAGTTACCCCCAGCCTAGTGTGGACTAGACCTAAGTAAAATGATCAGGCTGTGGTTTTCATTACTTGAGGCATAGCGCGGTTAGGCAGAGAGTTTCCCCAAAAATAGCAGATTAACGTTGCAAATACATTTTTTTGTCCTTTTTTTATGAGATGGATTTAGGATTTGATTTAGGACTACTTTAAGTCAAATATTTCAACATTTCTATTGGGTCATGTGCACGATGCAAAGTTGGAGAAAAGAAGCCTTGTAAATTCTTTTTGGTCTTTTTCTTGGTTGTTATTATTTTTTTTTTTGGCCTGCCATTCGACTTGGTTCGCGCTGGGAAAGTTTCCTCCTCGACCTCGAAGAAAGTGGACATTTTTCATCTTTCTCGGTCGCCTTCGATGTTGGAAGAGGAGTTTAGACTCAGATAGGCCCGTAAAGCAATTGGAATTTAAATTATCACTGAGTTTATTTCGCTCGAAAGAACAGAAAGACAAAAAAATTAGCCAAACTAAGTATTAAAAAGCGTTTTGTTCATTGCTCAGAGGGTGTAACCATCAACATCACCACAGATGTATGGTTCCGAGAAGGTGATAATGGCATGCGCTACAATTGTCCTCCATTGATGAGCCGCTGGAATGAATACAAAAAGAGAAGAGAATACAAAGCAGGAGCCGAGACAATGGAACCGATCATGCAGCAGTTTTCACGACTGTTAAGGATTTCAAGAGCGTCTCTGCCAAACATTGTAGTGTAAGATAAGCTTCCTAACCTGAACATTGATGTTTCAGACAAGTAAAATATGCGGAGCTTCATTGTATCTCTCCGCTCAGGTGTATAAATAAGTTCTTGTGAATTGTAAGCGAAACCGGAAAAAATTAATGAGCCACTTTAGAAATGGGAAGAAGTCTGGGGCGTGTCTCACCTCGCAATGGCTTGTGGGACCGTTTCTGGGAACAAAAGATGACAAGTCATACAGGCTCCTGTAACGATCCCACAAGTGACCGCGAGATGAGACTAGCCCCAGATCTCTTCTTTATACTAAAGTGGCGATATATCATCTAGGAGAGGGATCTAGTAAAGAGCATGACTAGCTCCCTGCAATAGCTAAAGAAATAAGAGTTTCTTAGCAACTCTTGGATTAGGCGGCCGCACTTTATGAAGTCGAATACTTTTGGCTAAATTTGGAGTCAATACATTTATTCTTTCAGTTTGGCTGATGCCATTTACACTCGTCTCTGTTACAACTATCCCCTGCCATGTGGACCTGGAGGCTGTGTGTCAGAACAAATGGCAGCCAAGGCAATGCATCATGCAACCTGGGCATTTGCTGAGAATTTCACTGGCATAGCTGATGTCGCTTCTCATCCAATGCTGATACAAATAGCCAAGAGAATG